TTTTTTTTTTTTTTGAGGGAGCAAAGATACAATTGTTGATTTGAGTCCTGCCCCCAAAAGGAGAAGTTCCTAAGTGGGCTTTCGAGGTTCCAGCGACCGTTAAAGTCCTTTAGGGTTGAGATGTTTTATATCAAATTTCAATGTAGCAATCCTACTTCTTCTTTATCCTTACAAGAGAGGAAAACCAGAGGAGCTTTAAGTGGGAAGTGTTCTGCCAGAAAAATGCCCTTACTTGTTTCCTGTGCCCCTATTCTCAATTCAATCAATCTGTGAATGAGTGAAATGGGAGAGGCTCTCCATACATAATACGAATTAATCGTATCAGTCATCATGCTCCTCTGTAACTATCTCAGTCATCATTCTACTTAGCGCGCAAAACTGGATTCTCACTCGCCAGCGGCGGGTAACCCTCCTGAGGCTCACGCGGATCCTGTCATATTCGAAGCCCTGTCACATCACAGAGCACAGCGCCAGGCCCGGCGGACACCAGGGGAGGGCCCGTCCCCTGGATAACAGAAAGAATGTCCACCAGATGACCACACGAGAGCACTTTATCACACAGGATGACCGCAGTTAGGAGCGTGGGCTCCGGAGTCAGACTGCATGGGTTCAAGTCCTAACCCTGCCACCCATCGGAGTGGGGCTCCGGCCAAGTCTCCTCGCCTCTCTGAGCCTCTGTGACCTCCTTCACCGAGGGCGACGTGGGAACCACAGCAACAGCCAGCCCTGAATATGTTATTTCATCGTTGTATTGCTATCATGTATTCACCTCTCTTAACTGTGAGCCAAAATTGGAGAAGCACCCAACCTCAGAACAGGGTCGGTCATACATAAAGCTGCCTGTGAGCTGTAGAGCCGCTGCCCTCCAGGCAAGAAATACGAAAAGGCACCAGACTAGCTTGGTGATCTCCCGCCCCAACCACACGCTTCCGAGGGTGGGCCCGGGTTACAGTCAGGAGGGCAGCTGCGCACAGTAGGGCAAATAAGACACGTGAAAGAGTCACGTATCTGCCGATGTCTCCCTCAGCTCGTGAGAGAGACTCTGCTCGGGTGTCCCGAATACTCCATCCCAAAACCCTGAGAAAGCCCAAGAGACCGAGGCCCCAGAGCGGACTCTAGCAGTTACTCCTCAATATTTCTGAGCGGTTCCTTTTTCTCTTCTGAAATGGGAGAGTAGCAAATAATTGACAGGGGTAGAATAGGAGCTCCGTCGCCTGTCTCTGGAAGTGCTTTGAGGAAGTTAAAGAGTAGACAAAATCAATGTCATAGCAACAGCGGCAGAACCCCCGACCCGAGGCATTAGGTAGGCCTAGGAAGGCCTACCCAGGCCCGTTTAAAGGGGCTTCACTGATTAAAGAACCAGTCTCCTGCAAGAGGCCACCGGTGCTAATGCCCAGTGAAAGCAGGTGTCCTGCGGAAGAGTTGCTAGATAAATAATTTGAGTTGGGGGAAAGATTTATTACGCAAACCATAAATACACAGTAAATCCCTGAAAAATATATATATATGCTTTGCTTTTTCTTAATTACCTCTCTACTATATACTCTCTTTAGAATGCCCAAGATTCCATTCTGTTTTTGTTTTTTTTGTTTTTATGCTTAGGTAAAAATTTTACTAAAACTATGCCATCAGTCACAACAGCCACTACTTTGGGCAATTTATCAGGCACTCAAAATCCCCCAAATTGCCGAAACACTAACTAGAAATTGTCAGTGTATTTTGAAATCTGTCAGAACATTACCAATGGCCTGTATGACTTATTTTATTTTATTTAGGTTGAAAGTCCAAAAGAACAGGACTCGGTTGAGATCTATAGCCTGTTATACGCCTGCGCTGTGCGGCAGGTGCGGTTATTTCGCAGAGACCAAAGCCCGGGGGATTTCTTCTTTTTGTACCAAAGGTGCCATAATGAAGCGGTGAAAATTGACAAGGAACGGGGGGAAGAAAGAAACGCAGTACAAATAATACAGCAGAGAAAGTTTTAAAATATGTATTACTCCTGTCTGTGGGGGAAACACCTCTTTGGATATGTTCTTGACAGATTGAGTTATTTCTGTCTATTGGGTATGTATAAAGACATATTTATGGATTTATAAATCTTTTGAAGAGGGCTGTTATTTACCCAGTTGACTAAAATGGACTCAAACTGTGTAAATAACTATTTAGGACATGCACTACGGGCCAAATGCTGGCGCGGCTCACACCCCCGCGGCTGCCAGAAAAGGCAGACAGGGAAAACATGGAAAAGCCACTGCGCACAGTTAATCCGCAGGCTGCACAAAGACCCGGCTCCACAGGTCTCGGGGATGAAAAAAAGATTTAGAAGGGTCATGGTTGGCATGGAAATGTACGTAAGTTGTTGCAGCAACACTTCTAGGCGTCACTCTGCATTTAGCAAGGAATAAATCACACTGCCAAAGACAACCCACGGGGAAGGCTAAAGGCGGGACTCCTAACACCTGGATTATCAAGCTGGGGGAGGCGAAGAAGGGGGAAGTCAGGACAGAAAGTTTCTATTTGACTTTAGTTCTTTGGTGGAGGGCCAGGGAAAGAAGGCATGAAGGCAGGAATCTTATATAAATAACCGGGAAACCGAAATTTTCGGTCCGACGCTACACCGGGACCTCAACAAATCCTTTGACTCCCCCATCATCTTTTCCCCCCTCATCTGTCAAATGGGCTAGACCTGTTCTATCTGTCACTTGGGGCTGTGTTAGAAACCAGGGTCAACTGAGATCATTCCAATGAGATGATTTATGTAAAAGTACTTTAAAAAACAACTGGGTGGTGGTTTTTTATGAAAAATTAAACAGAGAAACAATGTAAGCGGGAAGCTCTAGCAATGTCAAGGATCCTGGCTACAGTCAAGTTCATTATCAAATTGGCCCTTGGAGAGCCCTTGTTGAAGGCAAAGGAACACGCAAAATTCCTAATTCCTGGTTATGACGTGTCAGCGGGGAAGCGTCAGGACGGGACATGTGCCTCTGAGAATTTTTTCATCAGGTTACGTTTAAGGAAACGTAGTATGTTATAACTTTAAATTCAAGAACAAGCTAACTGATCGCAAGCCTTCTTCCAGTCATCTAATACCTGCTGCTTGTGGATGATATACATATATACACATATATATACATAAATACATACATATGGATATATATATGTGTGTGTATATATATATGGGGAGAGAGAGAGGGGGAAGCCAGACGTGAAAGAGAAAAGGGAACAGACAAAAACACTGGGCTCTGCCCCCATGTAGCAATTGTGGAAAACAGGGAAAGGCACTGAGATTGATCCCCACCTTTAGGGAAACGCACGGTGCAAGATGAGTTCTGAAAGGAGGGCTTTCTGTTGGAAGTGCTGACATCGCCCAGCAATAGCGCTGTGAGCAGCAGCACCACAACATACACGGACACATGCCCGAAAGAAAAAAGGCCCCGTGGATTTGTGCTGCAAATAGTTTTCCTGTAAAAGTCAGAGGGCGAAGGTCACCTCTTTCTGCCTCGGCTCCGGACCAGTTTACTGCTCCAGGCTCCATTTTTACTAGACTGAGAGCCGCGATGCAGTCAGCCACTTGGCTTTGAACAAGAAAATGTCTCAGATGCTTCAAATTCTACATGTAGAAGTTAACTCCCAGTCCAAATAGCATACATGTGCCTAAAAAAATTTAACTTTCCTGTTTTTGTTTTCAAGTGCATGGTGTTAATTCATTGTAGGCTGACATTCTAATTGGTAGAGACAACCTAAGTTAGAAAACAAAATTCTTTTCTTGGCTAACAGCACTCCAGTGACACATGATGGTCAGCCCAGGTTTTGAGGTTTGTACCTACTGCGGGCTCAGAGTCCAGACTCGTTTAAACTTTGGTTGCATTCATTGAACACAAAAGCCACTGCGCTCAGTCTCATCAAAAGCAGTTCGGGACAGCTGGCTACTCATCCACCTTTCTGCTGAAAACGACCTCATGCTTCAACTTTATCCCTGCTCGTTATGGTCATACGTGTACATCCACCGACACCCAAAATACACACAGAGATAAGTGTGTTCAAAGAGCAACACAGATCAAATGGATCTGGTCTGTTTCCATTTCTTCCCACTGCCCTTTAGTCTGACCCTGCAATAAGGTCGCTTAAGAGATTCAGATAAGTAAACTCAGAAAAATGGCTTCAACCCAGCGAAGAGAGAGAGAGAGAGACACTCAACATGGGCTCCTGAAAGGCCCACTGACTTCTAAGCATTTTAGGACATTGTGGACTTGGAATCCCAGTGGGTGTTTCTTCAGGAGCTCTGGAAAAGCCTCCAAGGGCAAGTAATAATAATACTTTTTATTTGGATAGCACAGTATGAGTAGCATACTGTTCACGTAGGTTCCAACTTTGACTTCTCTAATCTTGCCCTCAGTCGGTTCACTGACCCCGTTATATGGAGGTGGCAGGTGACAGGCAGTTAGGCAGCTGGCATGGCACAGAAGAAGAAACGGATGGGGGGGCATAAAATGAGATGAGCTGGCTCTTGTATTATATGGGATTTATGATCTAGGAAAACCTGTATAAATTAGTCACTAACTAAGCAATTCTGATTTTTCGACCCTTAAAAATGAAACATGTAGCAAAGGAAACAATGAGAAAACCTCTCCTACCTTGCTCACTGCTGTTATCCCCACTGTGCGACGTGTGGCCGCCGCTGGAAGGGCCTGGCGTTCCGCCTGAGCGGGTGGATGCCGTGTCATCGTGATCTCTGTTCCAAGAGGGCTGTGGGGACACAAATCAGATATCCAAATAGAGCGGTCTGCTAACACTGGTCCGGCCGGATCCCACTGCATCATGACAGGGTGATGGACGGCCAGAATGGACAGCCGTGCCATCTTTCCCATCCCCCCCTCACAGACGCTGCCAGCTCAGAGCTCCACGGGCACATTCCAAATTTGCCAATTCTAGCTTCTAAGCTGAAATAATATGTACAAATAGTTATTCTGTAAGTAACTGCATGCTTTATTACCAAGGAA